GGTTTTTTTTTTTTAATTTTTGATGGCTTCAGCTTAGATATCGGAAATACCAGAATTGTTTAAAGCCTTAAAAAAATTACCTTAATTTTAGTAGTAATTCGTGCATAAACTATCGAAAGTAGTAGTATTCTTTTCGAGCACAAATATAAAACTAGGTTTTTTCTTTGGTTCTTTCAGTCATCGAAGCACATGCTTACTCAAGAAATTAATTTTGGTATTAAACAGTGCTGTCGGCCGCTGTGGTGTAGTGGTAAGCAGTGCGCGCTTCCACTCCGCAGGACCCGGGTTCAAACCCTGGTCAAAGCAAAATCGCAAAAAATATAGAAAAAAGGTTTTTTCTTAACAGCGGTCGTCCGTCGGCAGGCAANTATGCTAGGTGATTGCAGAGAGGATGTCACATTTCTAATTTCACGATCCATGGCCTCCACCGAGGTCCAGTATCTCACAATACAAATGACCATCAGTCATTTTGGTTCCGTGATATTTCAAGAACAAAAACCGCTAGCCTTTGACAAGTTACAACTACGACAGCAGATGCTGTGCTCCTGTCACAATCTAAGGTCTACCTTATAATTCGTTGATTACGGACGACCGTTTGATGAAGTACAAATTTCTACAGATTCTTCAGTATTGTAGGTCCTTTTCTGACAAATTCAATCCCTAGTACAACTGCAAAATGTAATTACGAGCCGTTCCGTAGGTCAACTCCTCGTGTTATTTTGTGCTAGACGAGTTCGGAGCCTACATTAAGACAATGCCATGACGGGGACCAAAGGTTGACATACNCATATTATTATTATTAAACAGTGCTAGGTGATTGCAGAGAGGATGTCACATTTCTAATTTCACGATCCATGGCGTCCACGGAGGTCCAGTATCTCACAACACAACAGACCATCAGTCATTTTGGTTCCGTCATATTTCAAGAACAAAAACCGCTAGAATTTGACAAGCTACAACTACGACAGCAGATGCTGTGCTCCTGTCACAATCTAAGGTTTACCTTACAATTCGTTGATTATGGACGACCGTTTGATGAAGTACAAATTTCTACAGATTTTTCAGTATTGTAGGTCCTTTTCTGACAAATTCAATCCCTAGTACAACCCGCAGGCTGCAAAATGTAATTACGAGCCGTTCCGTAGGTCAACTCCTCGTGTTATTTTGTGCTAGACGAGTCCGGAGCCTACATTAAGACAATGCCATGACGGGGACCAAAGGTTGACATACTCTCTGCGCTGTTTTATAGGGCTACAAGTCCTTGCCATGGAACTAAAAGCCCTTATCCGTCCGATAATGCGGTTTGATTTGAATTATTTTTGGTACAAAACTAAGTAATACACCTATTGATGGTGTAGGCCCTTATCCGTCCGATAATGCGGTTTGATTTGAATTATTTTTGGTACAAAACTAAGTAATACACCTATTGATGGTGTAGGCCCTTATCCGTCCGATAATGCGGTTTGATTTGAATTATTTTTGGTACAAAACTAAGTAATACACCTATTGATGGTGTAGGCCCTTATCCGTCCGATAATGCGGTTTGATTTGAATTATTTTTGGTACAAAACTAAGTAATACACCTATTGATGGTGTAGGCCCTTATCCGTCCGATAATGCGGTTTGATTTGAATTATTTTTGGTACAAAACTAAGTAATACACCTATTGATGGTGTAGGCCCTTATCCGTCCGATAATGCGGTTTGATTTGAATTATTTTTGGTACAAAACTAAGTAATACACCTATTGATGGTGAAAGCACCCTACATAGAAAACTGGAAATCGCACAGGTCCTTTGCTATCAGCATGCGATCAAACTCTTGTGAGAAACAATACCTCCACCAACCTTCATGACCTTAACTATTGGCGTTTTATTTTCTACGAAAAATATTTCCCTTTCATTGCCCTGCGAAAAAACATATCTCTTCACTTGTCTGATAAAAGTTACTGTACTAAGTTAGGTAAGGTTAGGCTATTGTGGCAGACCCAATGAAGGGACCCACTTAGACATAATTAGATTGTNAGGTTGACATACTCTCTGCGCTGTTTTATAGGGCTACAAGTCCTTGCCATGGAACTAAAAGCCCTTATCCGTCCGATAATGCGGTTTGATTTGAATTATTTTTGGTACAAAACTAAGTAATACACCTATTGATGGTGTAGGCCCTTATCCGTCCGATAATGCGGTTTGATTTGAATTATTTTTGGTACAAAACTAAGTAATACACCTATTGATGGTGAAAGCATCCTACATAGAAAACTGGAAATCGCACAGGTCCTTTGCTATCAGCATGCGATCAAACTCTTGTGAGAAACAACACCTCCACCAACCTTCATGACCTTAACTATTGGCGTTTTATTTTCTACGAAAAATATTTCCCTTTCATTGCCCTGCGAAAAAACATATCTCTTCACTTGTCTAATAAAAGTTACTGTACTAAGTTAGGTAAGGTTAGGCTATTGTGGCAGACCCAATGAAGGGACCCACTTAGACATAATTAGAATGTATATTATGTTACCACATTACAAAAATTCTTTGAACGATAACCACACGTTCTCTGTTTGACTAAGAGAAGCGCTGGATGCTCAAAACAAAGTTTCGCAAATGAAATGTGCACAGAGGTGCTTAAACCTTAGTCTAGCGAATGCCGGGAAGTCGGGTGGTGGGATTATTCCACCTCGTTTTCCAGACACCTAGCAGCTAGTAGAGATCCGTGACGATATTAAGTCTCATGGCGTGGGTTCCTAAAGGAACAATGTCGGGCCAGTTCACCTGTAAGAATTGAGAATAGAAGGGCCTTGCAACTTTGCATATAGGGGCTTTCGGCCAGCGCTCGCTCAGCACTCGATGTGAATCCATCTGTCCAACGGAACTTCTCTGCCCTCCCTGTCCAATTCATTAGCCCTGCAATTTCCAATGAAGTCATTGTGTCCAGGGACCCNGTTTCCCTTTCATTGCCCTGCGAAAAAACATATCTCTTCACTTGTCTGATAAAAGTTACTGTACTAAGTTAGGTTAGGTTAGGCTATTGTGGCAGACCCAATGAAGGGACCCACTTAGACATAATTAGATTGTCCATAATGTTACCACATCACAAAAATTCTTTGAACGATAACCACACGTTCTCTGTTTGACTAAGAGAAGCGCTGGGTGCTCAAAACAAAGTTTCGCAAATGAAATGCGCACAGAGGTGCTTAAACCTTAGTCTAGCGAATGCCGGGAAGTCGGGTGGTGGGATTATTCCACCTCGTTTTCCAGACAGCTAGCAGCTAGTAGGGATCCTTGACGATATTAAGTCCCATGGCGTGGGTTTCTAAAGGAACAATGTCGGGCCAGTTCACCTGTAAGAATTGAGAATAGAAGGGCCTTGCAACTTTGCATATAGGGGCTTTCGCCCAGCGCTAGCTCAGAACTCGATGTGAATCCATCTGTCCAACGGAACTTCTCTGCCCTCCCTGTTCAATTCATTAGCCCTGCAATTTCCAATGAAGTCATTGTGTCCAGGGACCCAAATCAGCTTGATTTGTAAGTACTCCGAGGCGGCTGATAGAGAGGTCAGGTATTCCCGGACAAGCGATCCCAGCGCCCTGATTGCCGGTTGCCTATTAGAGTAGATATTCGCCCACCTAGTCGGCAAAACATTGGTGCATAGCCAATCGGCTGACTCTTTTATGGCGGCTAACTCCGCCCCAATGACGCTAAAAAGATACAGCAGTCTGAACATAACATCTATTGAGAGTCATTGCCAGTAGACACCTCTTCCAATACTCCCGCCCAGATTCGATCCATCCGTGAAGATGTTTATTGGAGTCCTACTCCAGAGACTATCATTCCACCATTCGCCCCTTGAAAGGATGTGTGTGGAGAAGGATCCGTTTAGGGCCAGCCTCGAAACACTACGATCCATTTCTTCCGGTAGGAAGTCGAAGCTTTTGAGAATTGTCGAGAGATAACCAGAGCTTTTGGGTCTAATGGGTCAGAAAACCGCCGCTTCTTTGCCCGCAATGCCAACAGGTGCGACCCTGAGCATAGCATTTAGCGCTAGAGTAGAAGTGGTCCGGATGACTCCGATGATTCCAACGAGGGCCGCCCCATACACGCGCTCTAGCTTCCTAACAAGAGTCGACTTTTTCAGTGAATTCCACAACCAGATCAGCTTGAGTGTCCAAGAACTTTCCTCTGACGATTAGTGCCACATCATCCGCGTAGGCAATACTGTACTAACTTCCCTTACCTTTAGATCACGTCTCGTAGCAGCAGTATGATTCCTGAAAAACCGTTAGAAAAATAAAGATGAGTACGGCTAAGTAGCCGAAACAATACTGCCATGCCTAAAATGACCGAGGCTTGCACTCTTCCTTAGACAAAAAGTCGTACAGACCCTTCGATTTGATAGACAATCGAAAAAATTAGTTTCCTTGAGCACGGTTCATGTCAGAGCAATCCATGAATATCGAGAACGTTTAGTAAAATATTTTTTTCAGCCGCAGCTTATGAGGAAATTTCAGGGACCGAGAACAAAAGGTATGATCGAAACTAAATGTCGTTCTAGTAGGTTTGTTCCAAAGAACGCTTAAAACCGAAACCAAAATGGGAAAAAATCCATCGGCAGTGTTTTCGCAAGAACGAAAGTGAGAACAAAACTGTCGAGAACATTTTCAATGGGAATTACATTAGAATAAACAACTTTGAAACGTTGCCAAAGAATATTTTTAAGACAGCAAAATGGGAACAAAAGTTTCCTGAGCATTCTGGAAAAGAACAAAACGGGCAAATATTCTAAGGAGTTTTCTCTCGAAGAATTTTTTGGGAGCATAAGTCTCGAGAACTGTCTGACAGAGCGGGAACAAATCTTCGCTGAAATATACGCCAATAATGAAAGCCAGAATAAATTTTTTCTCGTAGCATTGCATTAGTTTAAAATGTTTACATATTAAAATTAATTAAAAAGAACTGAAAGATAATTATGCGAATTAGGTCGATGCACCTACACTGACGGGTCCAAGACATACTGCGGTGTAGGGACAGGGGTATATTCCGAGGAGTTTGATGTCAATCGGTCCCTCCGGCTGGAAAACCACGAAGGCTGAAGTTCCGGGCATTTGTGAAGCCTGTAGAATATTAAGGAATAGTGCTACCAGGAAAGAAAGAGGGATTATTTACTCAGATAGCCAGGTAACACTCCTGGCTATATCATCCACTGTAACCAAGTCCAAGCTAGTCAAGAAATGCAAGATGGAGTTACGCTCGGCGTTAAGTCAATGTCCATCTCTCTTGTCTGGGTTCCCGCCCATAAGAACATAAAAGGCAATGAGAGAGCAGACGAACTGATCAGACAAATACAAACAGAAATCTACTTGCACCTTCTGAAACTGGCAAGGAGAAGGTGGTCAGAAACTCAGACTTGCGATATAAAACGAGAGCTTTAGTCTGACTTTATCAGGAAAAGAACAGCAGAACTGCTAATTAAATCAAGGATAGAAGTATTTAGAATTGTAGCGACTATCCCCGGTCATTCCAGTATTTCGTTTCCTGTGCGAATGACAAGGTCTGGTTTATTTAAGACATAAATCTGTCGGGAAACGCACAATGGAGCAGTTAGCGGATTTATCTAGTGCTACAATAGGCGGCATATACAAATACATAAGCGGTTCTAAATGGTTTGACTAAACTGCAGGAATGTTCTGACAGGGAGGATTCGATAGAATAAAATATCATTGTCCAAGAGAAGTGCACCAAAATGGCGCTTTTATGCGCTAATTGATTTCTGAGCGACAATTTAGGTAGCACTACAACCAACCAACCAGCCAACAAGGTGGTCGATGCTCAGAAAATGAAAAACTGTTCCATAAATGAATCGCCCTTTCCTCTGGCTTACAATTAACAATTATGGTTCCCACTGAAACGATTTTCCATACCAACACGCAGACGCTCCCCTCATTCTCAAAACTTTTGCTCTCGTTTTGTTCTACAGCAGGACATTCCCCAGACCTTAGTTCCTTTTTGATCCTCCTTGAAAACGTTCTCGATAATTTCGTTCTCATTTCGCTATCGCTGGAAATGTTTTGTTCTCACTCAAACTGCTCTCAATATTATTGTTCGCCAGTGTGGTTCTTTTGCGGGCACGTTCTTGATATTACATTTTGTTCTCGTGCAGAACTAAAGCAAAACTGGAACGTGTCCTTTCGCGTCTGGAAAACTTAAGTCGAAGTTTCTTCGATGAAATATCCCCGAGTAAGTTTGAACCTTAATATCTACTAATATTAAAAATAATATCTAGTGAAAAGGCTGCTGATGGGTCCATGTCCAATTTGATAATTTTTTTTAAATCTGCAATGAGCGGTAAATATCTCCCAGTGAGCTTTTGCTGATGTCTAACCCAAGGCAATCCCTAAAATAATAGGAAAAAGTCTCAGAATATAGGTGTTTTTCTTTTATTAAAAACTTCGTTATTTTAATTACAGTTTTAATTTTACGAAAATATTAAAATTTAATATTTTATATACTCCAGCTCAATGCCCAACAAAATTATGTTGACTTTCTGCGCTTGGT